TTTGAAATAGCACACAAAAAACTTCCCCAAAATACCGTTTCACACACATTTACAAAAGAAAAGTGCTCATAAGCACAGCTGAATTCTTGAGAGTTTTCTGTAATAGGGAGGAAACACACAAAGTAAGAGAGAACCTGAGATCTATTTTCGGATATTGAAAATTGATGATCTTCACCAAAATCCTTGCAGGAGGATGCAAAGAAGATGTCAAAACTCTGCGTGCAACTGGACTTCTGAAACAGATCTGATGAGTTGCTTTTTCATTTCCCTAAGGGATCATTTTAAATACTAGGAACCCACAATCAGCTGCTTGGTTTTAGAATTACTAGCTAAGAATGGAGATAACACTCATCCTTCAAATACTTAAGACCTAATTCCCAAAATTCACCCTTCAAATAATTAAGATCTAGTTCCCAAGACTTTCAGAAGCACCTGTGCTCAACTGATGCACTGATTAGTTGATTGACATTCACACGGACTCTGACACCGATACTAAGGTCTGGAACCTTCATGAGGCCTTTTCTGTTCCTTACACACCAGTTGAGACATTCTTAGCTGTAGCTTCATAGTCACTAGTACTTCCAAGTCATGTCTCTAGAGTGTTCTCACCAGTATCACTCCTGATTTGCTTTAATTTGCACTTTAGCCAGCACTCAATAGATGCCCTGCTATGGTAGCACTTGTCACAACATCACAGTTGAAACAGGTTTATATATTTGTGAATACATAATATAAATGAGAAAATATACATTTCCATTTCAGGTAATGATTATATATTCCAAATCTAACTTTGAAAGCTGTTTGAGAAGACAGCAGTGTGAAAACCTTATGAAAGGTCATGTCCAATTTACACAGCATATGAGTACCACTGTCATGGGAGACACTGCACGTACCTGTCATTAATTTAAGATATAACTTGCAAAGACGCTTCATACTTGTGAGGTCTGTGCCTGTTTTCCTTAATTCCTCAGACCAAGGTTTAATTTACACCTCTCACCCTGCCAATTATAGGCAAAGTTACATTTTTCTGCTAAAACACACATCAAACACAAGCTGAAATTAGTCATTAAACAGGTAATAGCCACAAACAAACACGAGGAACAGGAAGCAAAATAGCAACACTGAGAGCACCTCTTGGTATAGAGGTACAGATGTTTTGCAATAGTCAGTATAAGAAAAGAACAGAATCCATACCTAATATTCAGGGTTTTATTGTCCTTATTTGTTTTGTTTGTTCTCAGCAAGTCATGACAGTTAGCAGGAGAAAAATAAACCAAAATTGTAGTTTTAATAGTTTTCACAGTACACGTTAGCATGTGATTGCTCAGGTAGTGCCAGCCCTGAACCCAAGACTGCTGCAGTCCAACAGCTCCTGACATACTGGCTGCATTAGCAGAATCTCATCCCGTATTTCAGCCGCACCTTAGATTTACACTCTCTGCAACTACTTTTTAATACACAGTCTGATAACTTATTTAGAAAAAAATGCAAGCTTGCAATCCTGCAAAAGGTATATTCATGATTAATTTGCAGCCTGGATTTCACCGAGTTTCCTCTGGTCTTAAAGGCTCCTATATCTATATGGCACATTTATGTGCAGGCATGATAGTCATCACTCGTAGCAGAGCACTTTTCTACATAGCTTGAAGAGCAATTCATACAGAAAGGAAGTCCAACACAACTCTGGGCAGATCTCTAGACAAAACTTATATTCTTTATATAAATTTATATTTAGATTTATATATTATTCTCATTTAATTATACACACAACGAATTGGCAGCAGCTCCCATTGTGAGATATGATTGATATAAATCAAAAAGTATTGACCTACGCTGTCTCTTCGCAATTGCCTCGATTCATTTTAAAGCTCTTACTTGCCCGGAATGTAGAGTTTCAAATTCTGGTTCAACTATACAGAATAAATATGTAAAACGTTGCCATGGAAACACTACCCTAAAGAGAATGAGATTGGGTCTATAGTCAAGGGAAAAGACAGTATTTCTCTTGAATTGCTGCAGACGCTTTGAAATGGTGACTACTGCTTCTGAAGATAGCCAAAAATACTTAAATTAGAGCCAACATTTCATGCAGTAGTTACATTTCTCACTTATTTTCCATAGCAGCCAAAAAGACAAAACCCCCAACTTGCCAAGCTGAGTGTCAGGAAGCTCTAGCAGAGAGGCACAAGGTCCTGTCCTCTGCCCATCTCCTCAACAGCCCATTGCACAGACTTCCAAACCACAGGGAGGTATGAGCACAAGCAAAGTGCAAATTTACAAGCAGTGAACGACTCCTTCCCAGTTTTAATTGCACTTGTACTCAAAAACCAGGTGTTTCACAATGCCAGCTTGCTTGCAGCGGGGACTAACAAATGGCAACGTCCTTAAGCCCTTCAATCAAACTCTCTTGTTTCTGCAGAGCAGATACGGCACTCGGCTGGGAAAGATGGGAAACTAATGGAAAAGGAGTCATGAGGAACGAGGAAACATTATCAAGACTAGCTGAAAGCTTAAGAAGGAAGCCCAGCCTTAGCTTAAGAGGTCAGTTTACATGGATCTCAGCAAAAGTATTACTCCCAAAACACAAATTATAGAGCTTGGACTGCATCCTGACACTCATGATAAATTCAAAGATACTGAAAATTAACAAGTACTTTTCATGTGAAATGATCAAGGTTAATTGTGTATTTAAATCTGTTTTTACAGAGCCCTTGCCTTTTCATGTTTTGTGCAGAATTAAACACATCTAAAAACACTGAATAATTAAAGACCATGGGGCTTAAGCTTGTGATTTGGTAATTTTAAGTTTGTGATTTTCCAAGTTTGCCAAGAAAGACGCCACCTAGAAACCTTCATGCCATATGTTTCCTGAGCAGTATAAATGAAGTTTTTTCTAGAATGCCGACCTTGAGATGCAGTCCTCTAAAAAAAGACATAAAATACTAAATCACTGCCCCATGCTTGCATCATGCAGCCATCTTTTGTCGTTTCCCACAATCAATTCCCATGCAAAAGCAAAGGCTTCTCTTACTGGGAATTTTCATGGCATTGCTAGCAGGGTACACAGGGCAGAATCAGCTCACGCTTTAGGACTGCATGATGTCTCCTGCAGGAATCAGTCTTACCACGTGGAAACAAGGTGCTATGGATAAAAAGAAGCCATAACTGCCGACTCTGAGCAGGGGTCCAACAAAATAATAAGCCGGGCATCTCCAGGAGCTGCCTTTTGGCCCCAAGGCCACACACTGATGATTCACGAATTAGGACTAAGGTGCAACTACTTTCCTGGCCACTTGACTCATGGCAAGAGAGATTCATAAAGAAGGAAGATTCATGAACTCTAATGTCAAATGAATTATTATACCTCCCTCCCAGCTAATAAAAATAAGTAACTCAACAGTTCTGAGTTATTTCCCACAACTCTAACGTGACCTGAAGAGCTTTAGTAAGAGCTTTACAAGCTTTTAAACTAATAATTAAGTGCACTTGTTAAAATTAACTAAATTAAACTAATAATTAAGTGCACTTGTTAAAATCAGTCAAAAACAAGCCTTCTCTCTAGGTATGGGTCTAATAGTAACAATATTATTTCTTCATTTACTGTGAATTCCTGCATTCCAGGACTAACAGCGAAACTGAGATGCTGCCCCAGAGCTTCCTCTGTGGCTGCTGTCATGGCTGTTGAGGAAGAGTTTTCTGCCACTTCTGGGAATGTAACAGGTCGGAGCATTTTCATTCCTGTTCAGAGCTTCACTGCCTGTAAAGGTGAAACAAAACAGGAGATTGACCTTGTGGTTACGGGCTGGGAAAGGGGAAATTCTTGTGTCAACACCCCCACCTGCAGGACCTCGGGAGGAGATAACCAGGGCAGACAAGAGAGGCAATTTAACACGGGCCTTGCACAAACGGCGTCCCAGCGGTCACACCATGCAAGGTGCCACCCGAGACCAAAACAGGCACCCTCGACACGACCGCGCGATCACCAATGATGAACTCGGTCCCTCTTGCAGGAAACTCCGCTCGTCCCAACCGAGTTTTTCGGAGAGCCTCTAGTCTCACGCGTGTGGGCGGCCGCAGGGCAGGATGTCCCACACACAGACCAGGCAGGGGCTTCCCCAACAGCGTGAACAACTTGCATACATGTGTTTGCGTGGTATAGCTGCTATCGAATACGCTTTCGATGGCTACACATCCAGCACGGAGAATGAAGAGCACTGGCTTTCCCCTGGAATGCTGCAAATCCGGGCCCATTGCATCCTACCTGAATCCCTGGAGTTGGGGCTCACACCCACTTTGGAGACTCTTCCTCTCTTCATACCTTGGCACAAGGGCTAGGAAAAAAAAAATATATATATATATTAACTTTCCTACAATTTACTGGCTTTTACTTCCACCTCTACGAGCTCTCTTAACTCAAGCAGCACTCTTTAAGACATCCCCAGAGGTCTCAGGAAGAAACCACTTATCAAGGCACCTCAGACATAGGAGGTTATCCCTAAGAACTTCAGCAATAAACACGGAGAAAAATCTTAGTGATAAATCCCAGACCACAGGACAAGAAGTTTTTCCATTTTCACCACTACTTCTCTTTAAGCAATATTCTCAATACCTCATGCATGTTTTTCTTAAAAAAAAAAAAAAAATCAGTTTTACTTGGACCACTCACCTTCTTTGGTGAAGAAGGTTAGTAGCTCCTACTACTAGGAATCCATTTGCTTTTCCTAGGGAAAAAAAAAAGGTCTCTGAAAGTAGCCTACATCTTCCTTAAGCCTTGTAGAAACCTAGCGAGGCAAAGGATATTTTTGTTATACTGGGGAATTATCATCCAATAGCTACAACAGGAAACAACATCCAACCTAAAAAACCCAAATTCCTTGATGCTTTAGAGATGTGAATGCACTTTTGATGCAAAGCAGAAGGATGACAGTTAAGTAGGGAGAGGCTACACCCAAGAGCAGCAGGTTGGCACCTTCAAGCCATAGCTTTGGGAAGGAAACAGGATGCAGATAATGGATGCAGCGGCTTTAGTGGCAGCCTCGCTAACGAGGCAGGAGCAGCAGGTGAGTCAATTCCTGCTCTGCCCCTTCCAGCTGCCTCCCATCTCCCACAAGGAAGGTAGGAGCTCCCCTTCTCCAAGCCCAGCACCATGGGGAGATTCCTCTGGAGCACTTAGGAGCAACAGGATAAACCTCCATGATAACCAGTTACACCTAAAGCAATAAAAAGGGGGAAAGTTCAATTAGCGCCCTGCAATAACACAAGATCCTGCAAATTTGTGGAATAAATCCCTGCATTGGAATGTAGGTGTGAAAAGATGTGTTTTGTTCAGAAGCGCCAAGGCAGGATAGAAACGGGGCTGATCTGGCACTGTTTATGAAGAATAAACATTATATTCTTCACATAAACCTTAGGAAAGGGATGCATACACAAACGCTGACATTTGGGAAATGTGGCTAAATGCAGGAATTCTCTCCAGCTCCCACAGCGGGAGCATGCTGTAGATAACTAATCAGGACACTCAATTAGCTACATTAGTTTTCTGGATGCTACTGGGACAAGGTCAAAGCCCAGTGTCCCAAAAGCAAGCAGAGGTGCACTGGAAAACAGTCACTTTATTTTAGAAGCTAAAACAGGAGGGAGAAGATTTTTATTTTTATTTATTTATTTAGCTTTATATTTGATGGTGAAGTGCATTTTGGACTGCTCATGGGACACGGTTGTCGCAGATTTACAAAAGAGGACTTTAATGAGCCCTTAATGCTTCGGCTCCAGAAATTTGGGCTCCTCATGGATGGAAGAAGTGTCAGTTTCTGCTCCGCACCAGATGATGGCAGCATAATACCAGGAATGAAAACATGAATTACTATTTTAAACGTATTTCTAGTAGAACCTTAATTCCTGCGTCAAGTTCTACCACCTTTTAAATTAATTGGTGTGTCATTCTGTCTATCCAAGGAAACTCCCAGCCGTTTTCCAGAAGTTTCTTGTGTGCTGGAATGTGTTTTCACTAGTATTTATCAGCTCCCTCCTGTTTTATCAGCTGCAGAGACAGCTGAGCAGGGAAGCACCAGCTCAGCACCCACTCCTTTATAAAGTAATAAATGTAGCGTTTTTGACATTAATATGGAAATAAGTATCTCAAAGCGGAAACACTTCGCATTTCTGTCACTTCCCAAATCCCCTGGGACTGAAAACTGAAATGCCACAGGTTATTTACAAACGTTTTACCCTGGCAGGGTGGGGGTTATGGTGGCGTTAAACCAGCTCTTGTAAAAAATGGACAACACTTCTGAAACAATTACATAAAGAAAAAAAAAAAAAAAAAAAACTGAAACGCAAGCGGCTGCAAACGCCAGAACTTTCCGGAGTAAACAGGGCAGTAAGGGACAAAACACACAGCTAGGGTGTGGCGGCCTCTAAAATATAGGATAAAAATAAATTTAGAAATAATAATTACGAGATGAAAGCCG